ATTCAATAAATATCACTTCCGATTATACAAGATGTACATGTATTTATATATAAGATGAATTAGCTGTATGAATAATACTAACATTTATTTAATTGATAGACCCATATGGTTATATTATGAAGCTTATGAATTACATAAATCCTATTTCTAGGATGAATTTAATATTTCTTGTATTTGTTTTGTTTGTTTTTTTTTCGTTTTTTTCCACAAACAAAAGAATGCATATACATATGCAAAAGCTATTTAACTCGAATAAATGAAATTCAAATTATACACATATTTCCTTAATCTTTTCTTTCTCTCTTTAAATAAACTTAGAAACGATCTTCTATTTAAAATATCATTTCTATTTAATTATCAATCTGTCCAAATTTCAATTTGATTAATTTACCTAATAAAAATTAAAATTAAATTATTTAAAATTATGTAAATATGACAATAAATGAACATTATAATTTATAAGTCGCTTATATATTAGAAGAGTTGTTTGTTTAAATTAAAACTGATTAGTTCATAATATGAAGTTCGATCAAAATTTCGATTATGATAAATTTTATTAAAAGTAGGAAAGAAGTGGTCTATTTAAATAATTTATTTATGTGAATATAAGCTCATTTCTCATAATGTAAGTGTTTTTTTTTTGGAGGAATTGTTAACTTAATCAATATTAAGACATAATTCCTTGATTACAATAAGCATAGAAGAATCTAAGATAAGATTCATTAAAAACCTTTATGACTACAAGCTTATAATATGGTGTTTTTTTTAAAAATCTGTTGATATTAGTATCTACACAATCAAACTCTTGTGATAATTTCGATCAGTTTTTTAACATAGACGAATATCAGCCAGATAAGAGATTTATGTTTATCGGATGTTGTTAAATAGTTTATAATAAAGCTTTCTTATTAACCACTGTCAAATGGCATGGAACTTGTATGTGTGGCTTCCTCTCAAATGTGTCCAACTAATTTGCGTCAAATAAATGACATTGAAGTGTAATCACTTAATATAGCTACTACATTCTAAGTTGACTGAAAGATTTTGATTGTCGCTAAGTATTATACAGAATATTATCAGTTATTACTAAGTTGCAAGTTAGTGTGAATAAATTATCTCTGCAGAATGTTAGTCGCTTCATTGACAATCCAATGGAAATATCTCTGTGAGATTGGATGACATAGTTTCGAATTACATGACAACCATCAGTTATCTTGAGAGTACAAATATATCTTATTGAAAAGTGCCAAGTAGAACGATAAGTTTGCTCTTAGGCTACTTTATCCAGCCACTAAAGTTCAAAACAAATAATCCAAACGAAGTTATCTATAGATGTAAATGTGCTCAGTTTATCAACATGGGAAATCATTTGAGAAATTATTTTATCACCTATAAATAATCATCAGACTATTGGCTTCAAGGTATCATACAGTATTCTATTTAACCGTTTTCAAAAAAATCTTATTTTTAAGTATCAATTCATGTTAATTTTAGATTGTTTATATCTTTCTTTTGTATTATACTCTTTAGTAACTTCTATCACAATCCCTTCCTTTAATAAAAAGAATTAGTAACATTTGATTGATTATTATAAAAAATATCTTTAAAAGTGCAGACAAGAAAGGATGTATTTGTTTATATTAATTGATAAAGGTCGATATTTATAAAATTCTTAATTTCCAGTTTATAGATGATATTTACTATTCATGTGTAGATATGCATCTAGTTTTAAAAGAATCAGATGTTTTTCTAAAGTAAAAATATTTGATTTGTGAAGTAAACAAACAAAAGCTCAAAAAAAACAAGCTTTACATGGTGCCTGGTTTTTATTAGACATGTAGAGTCACAATAAGAGGCAATTATATTGAACAAAAATGGACAGGGGCTAATAGTGAAATCCAGGACACGCGTTTCATCCTATTTGGGACTCGTCAGATGGATGTACCTGGATCTCAGAGTTGATGTTCACTCCAAGATTCGAGCCCAATATCGCTCGCTTCAAACGTCATCGCGTTATCCACCTACCTGCCGAGTCTTGATAGCCACATGCTTGCACAATTACCAAGAGATATAGTTTCTCCTTATTTAAGACTACGTTTTTTTAGGGTTTTTTCCAGATTAATTATTTCTTTTAACAAAGACGTCCATTCTATATTCATCTCAGACCCAAATGATCGCTCTGTAATTAATTTCTACAATCCATTTTTGGCATAGTTCAATTAGGTCACTTTACGGTTTACATGAAGATTATAATTAAACCTAGAAGGGAATTTTTGGTTATTGATAGATAATAAGAGATCTTTTGATGAATGAGCCGGTTACACTATTGACTATCCTAACAAACCGAACTGTCTCATATACACTGACTTCTAATTACGTCACAGAAGAGTAATTAACATACAGTAAATAATCTGGTTTAACAAAGCTACGGTTGTGTGGAATTCTTTCACAAATCTGACCAATATTTTGCTAATGATTACATTTACATTTTTTACTTGGGTAGAAATAAACAATAAAATTCACATTATACGCAAAACTGTAATAATGATTTAAAAATAGGTTAGTTATAGAACTATGTATGTTTACATTATTGTTTGAACATCCAATAACATATGCTCCCGCAAGAAGCAAAACGATTTCACAAATTTCTGACATTTAGGAGTATGACAAAGGTATTACGTTTCGTTTAGTCTTTGTTTATTCGCTGTTCATTGGATGCTGACAATAGTTACTATAATTTCTTACCATAAACCATGAATTACTAAATGAATTAAACTTTTCAAATTTATTTCAGGACTTAATTAGCTTTAAATGTTTCGGAATCCTACAGAAAACCAATCCAGATAAATGATGTACGCATTTGACTTAAGTTCTGTAGTACCAATCCAGAATTAAGAACTTTTTCCTCATGAACGAATCGCGGATGCGTACTGATGAGGATCCACATGCTAGCACGAAATAGCCGTCCAGTGCTTTCAGGTTTTCAATGGTGGTTTAGCTTAGATCTACTCGTGAATTCAATTGTTAAAATGCTACAATCTCTATAAATCCCCATGCACATTTATTTCTATATGTTGATACAATAGGCTAAATGCTTCTAAATCATATATTTTGCCTGCTTTTTCCAAAGAACACCACAATGATGAATCTGTTTAAGATATAATTCTACTTTATCAAACTGAAATTCGAAAAAGAAATCAATTAGTCCTTTCGAAACCATCAATAAAATCGCAACAGGTAGAGGAGAGATGAGCAAGTAATAAAGCTGTACTATGAATCAAAATAGAAGTTGATATTCATCATAACTATGATTTTAACAATTTGCGTCACTCATTTGTTCCTTTTATTATTACGATATTATTTCATTGTCTAATACTATTTACAGTTTTAGATTGTTAAGATTGTTGTATTTTACTGCAATTATGAACTGATCAATGTTAGATCAACGTTGAAATCCGGAAGGTAATTACTGGCTCTTTTTGTTCTAATATAAAACTCCTCAGTAATGCCCATACACAATCCCGCACGCAGGATTCGAACCCAGCACTTTTGGTTTCACGCGCGAACGCTTAACCTTTAAACCACTGGGCCAGCATCGAATGTTATTAATGTCTAACTTCAATCACTCCACAATGTTGAGGGGCCATCTTTTTTATTTTGATATGTAACCGCCTCACATTTGATGTGGTTGAACTCTGCTAGTCATAGCTTCTCAGGATTTTAAAGTAATATTATTTAGTTGAAAAATAGGAACTAAATCAAATCAAAGATCATTCTTATGTTAAAATTTAGGATCAAATCTTATCAATAGTATTCTACGTCATTGTATGATATATTTAACAAGAAAATAAACTATTTATTTAAAACAAAAATAAGAAATTGGCATTTAAGATAGGTATTTATCGGAATTTAATGTGTATTGTATCCTTTTTAAATGTTCTATTCATATTGTCAAACATAAGAGAAATACGTCTTTAAAATTGATTTCATTATAAAAAGGATTTACGAAAGTAAATGTTATTTGTGCCTTATAAAATCAAATATATATACACATAGCATGTTTACATATAAACAATGGAAAGATTGAGCAGTAAAAAACTTACCATTATTACAGTGTAACTATGTTCTTATTCAATAGTAAAATCTATTATGAAATAGTTGTTTATCCCTAAACTGAACTACTATTCGGAGTTGACTGAGCTTTTAAAGCTTAAAGATTCAGTCACTTCAATTGCCTACAACGATTGTATAGAACTTTAAGACTATAATATAAACACGTTGCAACTAATAACGAAATAATGAGTCTTGAAGTAGGAAATTTGTAAATAGACTTTTTTGAATTCGGATCATCTAATAGATAGCTATAAATGAGAAAAATCTACAGACACTACTATTAAGTTGTCAAATAGCAATCAATATATTTTTCTACTAACTATTAATCATATACTATTACCAGCAGATTAATTAGTCAACTGCTTTGGTTCATTAATATAGCATTGATATGATGCGACGAAATCCCCATATCTATTTAGATTGAAACTAACCAGTCAGGTAATTGGATTTAAAACCTATTAGTATAAACTATTTAAACTACAATTAACTTGATGAAGAGTGATTTATTGATTGAGACATTTGGCTTTTGCTCTTCAATGTGTAGATTCTAATCTACTTGTATTTGAGAAGTTGGATAGTACCGTAAACCGTTGCAATAAATATCCATGTCATAATTCGGTTATGTCCTTGATTAGTTTAACTGAAACCAACTCATTTGAATTCAGTTGGTTGTATAAGAAGAAATAAATAAGAACATTACAATTCTATTTCATGTTTATTATGCTTTTTTTTAAAAAGTACTTGTGTTATTCAAAAATTAGCAGCGATCATATCAAAATAATAAATTTCATATAAACACTTGATGTAATTTAAAGCCTTACGTATTTTTATCAAAGTGATACGCGTGAAAATAAATAAAAATGATGATCATTAACACATAGACTTACTAGTTTTTTGACATATGAAATGATAATCATGACAACAATCTCCAGTAATGACACAACTTTCATCACAATAACAACGATCACGTGGACTTGAATGGCCAGCTACACTACGATATTTCTTCCATGGATAATATCTAGATATTGAAGATTGTCCAGTTGATTTGTAAACAAAACATTTTTTCTCCCGACCGGCACAACATACAGACATTCCATTAGGTTGAAGACATCCATTTGAAATAACTAATGAGATTTGATTGATTGTAATATAAAATAAAAATAATATGACCCAGTGAAAAATCTTCGAATTAAATTGAATATTTAATCGGTTTTGAGTTGATCGGATCATTTTTTTGTTTATATATGAAAATTAGTATTTAAATTTCACAAGATAGCAACAAAAAAATATTGAAAATATTGTAATGAATGAACTGGATTTCTAATGACTAGTAATTATTTTTGTATAGTAAGAATTCTATAAGTTTTTGCTGCCTGTTATGTGCATGTAATAAATAAGTAATAAACAAGTATTAACAAGTGGACATGTAGGCATGTATTTAAATAGTATTTTCAGGAAAAAGTTGAGTTATTCTTTTTTAATTTCAGGGTAGTTAAAAGAAAAATTCTTTTTTTATTGTCTGATAACCGTATCCAGGTCTTATATACTGGTGGCCTATCGACTCTACACCATTCCAATGTACTGTTGTTCCAATCTACATATGTATGTATGTATATATAAAGCAATGCACAAGATCCGGTAATATGCAAACAAAATGCTTTTGGTTATATAAACATGCACACATTAAACATCCATTTGGTGCTCAGGCCTAGACATTGTAGAAAAGGATGCTAATATTTGTACAATTTTGCACGTATGTAATCCGATTAACTTCCTCTATGCAACAGTATGATTGGTTAATTTCAACAACAGTAGTAGGCGAAAACCTGACCTTCTCTTGACCCCATATAAATGACCATCCCAAAAGACCGAAAAACAACAAAGTTTTGATTACAACAGACTAACAAAATAAATGAAAAGGGTTAAGGTCAATTCTTATTTTCAACATTTAAATGAAGTAAATTACACTAGCTCTTTCGGTCCAATGATTAGGACATTTGGTAAAAATATAGCATTAATCTGATAGATATATGAGTGTATGAAAAAATTCACAAACTGTGTTTCTTACAGACACTGTCCTTAATATTGTACCATGACAAACCATATAAACAGGAGGACTATGATCTACTCACTACTATTACATAACGACATGTTTTACTGACTAGGAAGTTCTTTGTTTCCCTTATCGGCATTGAATGGTTTATCAGTCAGTCAAATATGTAAATAAAACTGGTAGAAAAACCGTGGACTATGGTATGATGACGAATAAATTTATTGTTGAAAGAAATTAATTTTAACGAGGAATAGAAATAAAAAGGGAAAGGACTGAAAAATTATTTCGTTAGTAATATATGTACAGAAATATCCTGATACCAATAAGATACTTTTCGTACAGTTGAATAACACTGAAGAATGTGTTTTCAACAGTTGTATGCTTTGATTTTCAGAGTATATAAGTCAGTTTTGTATTTCTTAAGGGACTTTATTAATGAGTGTATTTTTGTTGCAAATTATGTTGTATTTTGTCTTGGAGAAGAATAGAAATACATATGAAAGTTAGGTGAATACAATTAATTGAATAGCTAGAAAATTAGCCAAGTAATATTATTCAAATCGACATTCCTTTAAAAACCATTGGATTCGAGTATCTACAATTTATGTCAACCAGAAACTAAATAAATAATGGTGATTCCGTTATCGATTTACCCCGAAAGAGTAGCTTACATAAAGTTACAAAACGTCGGAAATACAATTTTTCTAATCATTGGGGTATAACAAAAGAATATATTGATTATTAACTTTCTACCCAATGATCAATTTATTTAAAACTATCAAGTCTAACTTTGGTATTGGTGCCTATAAATAAAATATGATAACTTCAGTAAACAAGGATGATACTGAGAATTCTTTACCTTCATCCGTGAAGTGATCAAATCATTAAAAGTATAGAAAAACAGTTTTGCATCAGAATGAATTCACTAATAACTAAAAGTAAAGAAGTTGCTTCGTTTTCATACAAAGAACTTTCAAACAATTCCTATTTATGAATTATATGCTATTCATATGGCAGTTTGACTTTCTAATAATCTTCTTAATACATATATAAATATTCATCTGAGTATTCTTTTTGTACTTTGTTAGACTGGATAATCTACCTATTTCTACAATCCGTCAATACTATTTTATTCAAGTGTAATTTGTAATGTTTACTAATCGTTCTGTTTATTACACATTACCAACTTATACAATGGTATAAATACTATTTATAGTTACTTATGATTTTGTAAGATCGTGAAATGTACTCAGCTTTATATTTCAGAAGTAATAACATCAATAAAGAAGACTTAATTAAGCTAAATGACTTGATGAAGAATTCATTATGTGCCGAAGGTATTATTTATCACTGACTACTATTAGCCAATTTCATGCTCGCTATAAGTCTTAAGGCTATAGGTTTCAATCCATTGAGTTATAAGTGTGTACTGTCTAAAAGCATCAGGCTGAAACAAAATACATTTAAAATGATCCAAAACTTTCAGCAGTTTTCCTAATAATGTTAATTCATGATTAAATTTGAAATATACTGATGAAACTATTTGACTTAGTGCAACTTCAGCTTAAATTTCACAAATACCACTAAAATTACAAAGTTCGAATTCCTCCAATTCATATGCAAAATTATATTGAAGGAACTCTTGTAGACTTTGCTCCGTAGGCGAATATTATTTAGATCATAATTAGGTAACTATTCTAAAGCAGTAGGCAGATGACAACAATCGACAATGCAGATAGATTTAATTTTCCGTTCAATATTAACAACACCAGTCAAAAGTCATTAAAACGTATTCACTTACACAATAGACATTGTTACTATGTGATAATGAATAAGTATAATAACTTAGCAAATAATCAGCTGATTAGTAATCTCCCAAGAAATTCCGATCAATTTAAGTAACATAAACCTAAGAGAACGATCATTTTGTCTAAGTGATTTGAATTGAACTAAGGTATTTTATCTATTGAAATGAAACTGAAAAGTTTAGTAAATAAATAAATAATATACTTGTAATATATCAATAAGTAGAAAAATGAGATTTTCTGACGTTTCGTGACTTATTGTAAGCCACTTCTTTAGAGAATAAATAGATAACTAAATCAAAATTAATCCAAGTTTCAACAGTACAAACGGAACAACAGGAATATTATGTGATCAATCAGAAAACAGGTCTGAATAAATCAATGTAATATCATATCGGTCAAGGTGAATATTATCAATGTATTGAACAGTCGTATCTATCATCATTATGAAGAGTAAAAGTTTTAAAATCAGATGAGAAGAGTTATATTTTACAATTTGTATTACTAATGAAATCAAGCGAAACCTAATGAACCAAAATACTGGATTACAATCATTTAATCAAATAAATGCTTCTTTACTTGAATAATGACATCACAAAGCGGGATCCTGGATGCACACTACTGAGGAGTCCCATACTAGGACGAAATGGCTGTCCATTGCTTTCAGGTTTTCCATGGTGGTCTAGCTCCAATCGACTCATGAATTCAACGATAAAATCGTGTTAAGTACATTATTAGACGACATTTCCGAGCTTTTATACTAAAAATGTAAATATTAATAATTTCTTTACAATCATTCCAAATACTTTGTTGACAAAAATTATTCGATGAAACTTAATTGTTATTTCATGTATTTTTAAATTTTCATTAATTATTGTTTAATAATTATTTAAATGAAATGACTAATTGAAATAAATGCTGTCAAAAATATTAATAGATTTTTAAAATATCTTAAATGAAAGATAAAGTTTTACAGCATTTCTTCTGCTGTAATTATTTTTTTATCATTTTCTTGTTAACACTAATGAATATGATTCTAAGAAAGTTTACACCATGGACAAACTTTAGCTATATAACTAAGAGCATAACTCTACAAAGCATTTGATTCAGAAGCAAGTACAATAAATATTTAAAGAGATTAATCTAAATTGAATTTCTTACATTTCCTTATTAATTCAGTTGACGATATTTCAGAATGTATTCACAACAAAGTCTAAGTATCTGTAAACTTCATATTATCAGAAGGAGTTTTGTGGAGATTTTAGTAATTTCAATAGTTGAAATCATCGACTTAGTGGTCTAATGGTTAAGAGCTCGCGTGCGAGACTGATTGGTCCTGGGTGCGAATCTCGCGGGTGATGGGATCATGGATGCGCACTGCTGGGGAGTCCCATGCTAGAACGAAACGGCCTTCCAGTTCTTCCAGGTTTTCCACTGTGGTCTAGCTTCAATCGGCCCATGATTTCAACTATCGAAGTTCATATTAGTTTATAATAGATCTCTACCTCAGTATTCGGTTGAGGAGATTATTAAGTTTTTGATTGAGATCACGAACCGGTTGATTTTAGACCATCATTGAAATCCTGGAAGTAGTAGAAGCCCGTTTCGTCCTATTGTGGTAATCCTCAGCAGTACTCATCCACGATCCCTCTCGTGGGATTCCAACCCACCACGTTCAGTCTCACGTGTGAACAGTTAACCTCTACTCCACTGAGCCGGCATCCACCGGTGTTAATGTCTAACTGTTCAGTGCTTCCAGATTTTCAATGGTGGTCTAACATCAATCATTTTATGATCTCAATCCAAACGATCTCTGCCTCTTTCTAATCGAGAATACATACTAACCTGAAACTTTAGTAAATAATAAAGAATCCCAAATTAGAACGATAAATAATTTTTATTAACTGTTTATTCATCTTTCACATTCAGGCAAATATAAAGTAATTTTTTACATGATACCGAAATCACTAATCCTTATATGCAATTCTTAACTTTGCTATGCACATATGAATCACATTATTCTGTTTTTTTTTTCATAAAATATATCTGAAGAATGAATAAACTATCATCGAACTACTTCAAACTGATACTACTTATTTAAATGTTTTTTTTATTTTAAATGTTTTAAATCAAAATTTAAATCAAACTTTAATTTTCATCCATTTGTCAAAAATAATAAATATTCAATTATAACTAATAAGTGATATTTTTATTGAAATAACTTTGTATTTTACATTTCAGAAAAACAATACTGAACCAGACTGTAAACTTTTGATGTGATATTTTACAAAAAAGTATATCAGACGGAAAACGAAAACTCCCATCAAACGACAGATATAATAAGTAGTGAAATTATACTGTTAAGATTTTCT